GCCAAGTTGCAGCTGAACGTTCTCCTTGCTTAAGTACACACGGCCGAGCTGCCACTGACCTCTCCTCTAACCGGCTTGTTAAGCATGACAAATCTGTCTCTCAGATATATATGGAGCAGTCCTTGGTCCATTACTGTCTTTCAGCACTCAGTGGCCCTCTGTGGGAAATAAATAACTGTTTTATCAGGCCAGCAGCCTCCAACAGTTCCAAGAGAAATCATGGTACCCTGGTGAGCAGGGCTGCATAAACAAGCCTGAATGCTCTATCGCCCTGCCCCCCCCCCCCCCCCCCCAAATCTTTTAGGGAAAAATGCAGACTGAGGAAGGGTATAGTCACACAGACAAGCTTTGCTTTGCTTTGCTGGTATTCATCTTGCACCACATCCCATGATCCCCTCCCTGTTTGCTCTTTACTCCCAGCATTCTCCACACACAGGTTCATGCACATGGTTGAAGAGCCGTAAGCATCTTGCACACCTGGCCTGGCTCTTCCTGGCTGCTGTTGTAGGTGCCCTCATGGAACTCAGAGCCTCATTCAAGTGGAAATGTGGCAGTGCACCAGTGCATGGAAGCACCTTGACCCCTTTGTCTTCCCTGAAGCTTGGAATATGGCTTACAGCTCTGAAAATGGGCTACTTCAAGAACTCTGCAGATCCCCCCACCTGCATCTTGCTGCCTATAACTTCTATTTGAATGCATGTCTTTGCACAGCTGCAAATATGTACATTTAGCACTGGATTAATTTAATTTGCTTAGAGTAGCTCAATGGGACATAGATTAGTCATGAGTAATTTAAGTCCCATTGCTATCAGCTGGCTTGTTCTAAGAGCTTCTCTGTGCAAGGCATTTATTGTGTGCTTTGTCATTCCTTGTAGTTGTTTACAGGCTCTTTAGATGATACTCTGACCTCCCATTTCACTTCTGTTTTTAAATAACACTTCCATGGGATTTTTAGAGTGGGAAAATGGAGTGTTGCTCATGAAAGTAAAAGAAAGCATTTTCCCCACCTGTGTAATTGCATTATACTGCAGGAAAGAAAAAGCTTGAATTGCACTTCTGCTGTGAGACCAAAGGCAGAGGGATCAGATTAGCAGCCCTGTGTAGAAGACCTCTAAGTATAGCTAAGTCTGCATCCAACCCCACGTTGATGAGAAGCACATGAAGTCTATTTTGAGTCAACAAGGAAATACAACAACAAAGTGAAAAGAACATAAAGACAGAGAGTAGAATTTACCCAAGATTTAATCTCTAGAAAGAGAAGGGCCTTTTCTACTTGAGGCTTTTATTGTACAATTGCTGTTCCTCATTCATGAGGGTTTCTGTTTTTCCTCATTCTTTTCCTTCCAGCAAAAATTAATGAAGAGCTTTTCTACACAAGATCTTGATTGTACACTCATCACCCTGTATTCACGGTTATTGTTGTGACCCTCCAGTTCCACTTCTTTTTGTAAACAGCAAATCTGACCATAGTAGGGAAGACTGTGACATGGGGACCTGCACAATTTGCTTGGTCTGCTGTCCAGGTGATGCAGATGGGCAGCTTGGAGTCCCGGCTCTTCCTTCCCATGATTCTTTACCTTTATACTGGTCTTGGACTGGAAGGCCTTCAAACAGAGGATGCCTTCAAAATAGAGGTTAGTCCCCTGGTAGCTCTTTGAGTGGAGGAGGGCCCTTTGCAAAAAGGATACCTGGCCACCCTACCAGGTCACCATGGGGCCAGAACACAGAGAAGAGGATCTCACACTGCATTGGGAATGCAGGAATTGAGGTCTAGCCACAGCTGTTTGGCCTGTGATGAGAAAAAACATATTCTGTGCATCTTCAAATTCCAGGGCATCCTTACCCAAAAGTATTGTCCTATTCTGGAAAACAGTTTGCAGGGCTAAAACATTCTTAAGTACCCCCTGGAACCACCTGGTTATAGCAGATCATGGATGCACCCCACACCACATGCACCCAACATTATCTTGCGTATCCAGATTTCTTGCAACTTCCACCTAACTTTAAAATCTAATGCTAATAGACCAGCTCTACCTATGGAGCTCAAAGCCAGGGTTACCTAAAAGTGAAATGCCTTGTTATAAAACAAGGAGTACAAAAACAAGGAGACCTGTAAAGTTTTATTTTAATAAGTATGGATTAGAGCTGCTATAAATGCATTCCTATTTCCCTGGGTGAATTTAATATTGGACAGCAAATTTGATATTTCATAGCTGGTTAGCTGGCATACAGTGGTCCGGTACTTGGCAGTCTACAAGGTCCAATCGTATTCGAGATGTGTTGTGTGTGTGCCTGTGTCTCCCACTCCAGGCATTTGAGGAACATGGGCCAGGCATCTCCAGCAGGTCTTCTGCTCCACTGAGCCCACCTTTTCACCAGCATTGTCATCTGCTGCTGCAGGGTCAGCAGCTGCTCCTCCTCCTCCTCATCTTACTACTGCCTGGTTGCTTCACAAGCAGACAGCTGGGGAGCAGGCAGGCCGTGGCATTTACTGCTCCTCCTCCTCACCACCACTGGTCTGGGCCAGAATGGAGGGCAAGTGATTGAGCAGGTTGCAATGGTGCAGATGAGGCACCTTGTCCATGGAGCCCTGCGGGAGGGTGAGCCTTGGTAGCTGCCCAGCCATCCTTCTCCTTGATGCTAGCTGCAGGTGTGAGTGTGCATGTTTGCACGGTGTGTGTTTTACAAAGGAAGCATGCAAGGTATCATCTGAAGTTTGCCAGGATCAAGAGGCAGGAGACACCAGGTCTGAAGCAGTCCTGGGGCATGTTCCAGCCCTACACAAATGCAACAGGTGAGATGAGAGGGATACAGATGGGGACTCTGATTGGCTGAAGACAGTGACACGGGCTGCTGTGGGGCAGGGGCAGTCTATGCAAGCTTCTCGGTCCCTTATGTGGGCTTCAGAGTTTGGCTAAACTTGACTGAGTGGAGGGATAGGCAGTGCCCACAAAAGCTTTGCCAGAATGAATGGGCTAGCTCTGCAGGTGCCACATGTAATCCTTTGAAATTTCTTACTTTGGAGAAAGGGAGCTCTCTGAACCCCACTTAAGGAACGATAGTTTGCACTGAGTCAGGAGATAAAACTTCAGGGCCTTAGACTTCAAAAGGCTGGGCTTGGAGGTTATGTTGCAATAGCTGAAATTCTTGCAAAATTGTTGCAACTATTCATTTCAGATGTGGTGGAAGTGTCTTTACATAAAATGTGTCTGACATACATAAGAAAAGATGTCAGAAGAGATCCTTCTGGAAAAGAGGGTTCGTCTTCTCTTGGCTACCCTCTTCCCCACCAGCTGCCTTTGAGAAACTATAAGGAAGGATTTTAGTCCAACCTGTCAAAGAGGCCCATCTTTGAAGAACACCTTTTGAGGAGCTGTGAACTGGGAACAAACTTTTGCTACGCAGAGAATATCCTCTGTGCTTTCAGTCTATTCACATTCACTTTGATAGAAAATAAATTTGCCTTTAAAAATGGGAGGAGTAGAAAAATTCAGTGACATTCTCCTGGATAGAGTACTTACAGTAGTTACAAGATGGCTGAGGCTTGCTTGTTTGTTTACAACCACCTTTTCTATTGAACAATCCTCTCTCCAATGATTGCACCCTACCTGGGTTCCTGTTGTTGTTGTTAGTCATGAAGTCGTGTCCGACCCATCGTGACCCCATGGACAACATTCCTCCAGGCCTTCCTGTCCTTCACCATTTCAGTTAAAGCCCAGGGGAAGGCATCATGAGGAACTCCTTCCATGGGTTATTTTTAGGATTGGTTTTTTAGGATTGGAAGTACAGGCAGCCATCAAGGCTGCAGAAGAATAGAGAGCTGTGTAACAGAAAGGAGGGGAAAAACATTGCACACACAGTACACTTCAGAACAAGGTAAACTCAAAACACTACCAAAATAAATTCTGGAATGAAGAAGAAATGCAAGCCTCTTTCATGACGGAAGAAAACGTTTGGCAAATTGGAGGACAATAGGGATAGTCCGAGATAATAAGGCATAAATGAGGACGCTCCAGATTTGAAGTCATTTCTGGAGTCAGTATTGCACCAAAAAGTTTGCCACCAGCAGCCGGAAAAAGTGGCAGGGAAGGATGGTGGAATCTGTTGTGGACACATTAATATGGTCCTCATTGAGAAACCCCTGGCTGAGTTTTGACTGGGCACAGCACCACATATGGAAGTGGAGGAGCAGAAGTGGGTGAGCGGCTGCCATTCGACCCCCATCTCTTCCTGGGTTCACTCATTCTGCAACTTTGCTCAATACATGTCTGTGGCTGGTGCCCTGCCTTTGGAGAGTGCCATCAAATCCTGCCTGTTCATTGGATGCGCACTGTTTTTGGCGTCAAGGAGTGAGTTTTGGAGTGGAGATTCTGGAAAGGAAGCAAGATTGCCTTGTGGTTATCCAGGTGAAAGCAAAGCAAAACAACAACAGCAGCGGCAGCAAAACACCACCAAAAACTACCCTGTTGACTATCACACAATTTAAAGCAAATATAAATGGATGATCATGTCAGAAGGCTAGACAGAAAATCACAGTAGAAGCAAAGCAGTCATTGTACCTGAAGGATGAATGGCAAGCAGGTGAGGGACATCGTGGGATGCACTCCCAGGAGGCCCCTCCCCAAGGCAGGCCTACCTCCCAGCTCATCAGAAAACACCGTCTTCCTGGGGCTTTGTCCAGCCTGCAGTGGGCTGCTGCTGCCTGGTGTTCCCAGCACCTCAAAATGGCAGCTCTGTCTAGCTTTGCTCACCATCACCTTTCCCATCAGGAGAGGAAAGGGCTAAGGGATGCTGGCTCACGGGGCTCAACCTTCTCCTTCCCAGTCCCCACTGTGCTTTCCTTGAGTTGGGAGATTCCTTGCCCTTGCAGTACCCTCAGAGCACATTCCATAGCAGAAAAATCTATATCCACGCTCCCTGAATGCACATCTGTATTCAACCCAAGATTGAACTAAAGCAATAGTTTTAGCCCAGTGTGGGGGGATCTTTGCCCTACAGTTTCAACTTTTGCCAAACACCATCCCTTGTGGTTCCACGCAAAGGAACCAGCCTGTCCCACTGCCCCTGCTCAGTTCTGACCAGAGCCTCTGAAAGGACAGGAGACAGAAGGAAATCCACGAGGGTCTGTCTCTTCCGGAGCCCTCTTTGAGGGCCTAGGGCCCCTCTCTTCCTGCCTGTTGTCCTTGAGATGTGCTGGACTACAGCTCCCATCACACCTAGACTGCATGGCCCATGGGTGGCTGGGAATGATGGTGGTTGCAATCCAAGACATCTGGGGGACACCATGAGTCCTTCCTTGTCTACGGGAAGAAAGGTAGTTGCTGTTGGATGGTGCTGTAGGGAATATTCTCCCCTTCTTCCCAAACAGCATGAATCAGGGAAGTGGGAAGTTGGCAGGATCCTGGAGAATGAGGGGGGCACCAATGTCAGGGAGGAGGTTTCAGGCTACTGTTTATGGGCTTCCCAAGGTTTCTCTCAAGAACAGCCATAAAGAACAGCCAGCCCTTCTTCCTTCGAATTTATTTCCTTCAACAGCTTCCCCAGCCAGAAAAGGGATTACAGAGAGCTGTACTTCATGGGTTTAGCTTCGGACTCTAAGAGTTCTCACCTCTGTTTAATGCCTGCTCTGGACTCAACTCCATAATTTTAGTCCAAAGGAATACGTGACACTGTTAGGAGACTGTGCTTGCCCCATCATTCCAGTGAAACGGGGGAAATTTACCTTGGGCTGGAAGTCATTCCTGTCTGTGGGGAGCAAAACATCTTCCTCAGTTCCTTCATTATCTGGGGCTAACAAGAAAGGGGAGGAATAAGAGAGGAATTATTGGCACAGGACTGACAGCAACAGCCAGGCTGCAGTTTCCTTCAGCCCAAATGTGTCTGTTGGAAGATTGTGTTATAATTAGGCAGCAATGTCCAAATGGGAAGGTGGGTTCCTCATGATAAGGCCTTTGCTACCCCACCTCTGCCCTGCCTCATTTGTAGAAGCCTCAATATTGTTTGCTTCTACTCATGGCTCTCCTGTATTTTCTTACTGCTTTTTCTGTCCTTTTCCCTCAACGGAGAAAAAGAACAGCAACACAGTGCTCTCTATTTTGAAGTACTGGAAGCCCACCATCAGAAAGTATCCGGGGAGATCAAGCTTTTTTTTTAACAGTATCTGCTACCCTATTGGCTTATAAGCCCAGTTCTAGCTGCTGTTTTTGGTCTTGAATCGTGACTGATCGGAAAGACTGCTTATATCTCTCTGTAGATGAGCACCTGAGGCCTGTTCTCTGGTCCAGCAGCAGGGGCTGTTAAGTTGGTGGGTAGGAAGGAGCTGCTTGGTCAGAGGTGGTCCTACAGCTTTGCCCCCCCCCACCCCCCGGTGGTATGTGAAGCTTGATCACTGACTTTACAAGCCAACACACCTGAAGACACATGCATTCAATCTGCATTTGATGCTGAAATCCTTAGGTGGCAGTGGTGGTGTGCATGCACACACACAATTGTAATCTGTAGGTTCATGGTTTTATAATGGTTTTTAAAGATTGCACAACCACATATTGGGGATTACATGAGTGAACTGGCTGGAGCTGGGGGTCAGACTAGATGGCCCGGGAGACCCCTTCTGACTTGCTCTGTTTCTACATTTCTATAATATAATGTACCTTGTGAGGGCAGTGGCCCTTAAAGGCAGATTTAAAAGCTAAACCGACAGACAGACAGACAGACAGACACTAGGTTTGCAATATGACTGTTGCTACAAAGCTGAAGTTGCCAGTGTAACTGGCCTGGTAACATAGCTTTCTGGATAACATAGGGGGTATGGCTCAGATAGGTATTCCATGGCAGTATCCACCATGGCAGTAAAGGAGGGAGGCCCTTGTATGGGAAACAGCAGGATCTGGCTACCCATAAGGGACCAAAAAGGGTACACTTCTAGGCTCAGGATGGAACCAACTCCTGAATCCCAGACACAGTATTTCTGAACACAATGGCTTCAATGCATACTCCTTGTGCATTTTAGCATTTGTGGAATGCTCCTTTGCTGAAGGAGCATCCTTTGCTGTGCAAGAAGGCATCTGCCAGAGTGATGTTCACCCCTGAAAGAAGTGGGATGACGTGCAATTTTCCCTTTGAGGTGGAAGTGCTCTGCCTGACATCGGGTGACTCGTCTCAAGACAAAAACCCCATCGTGTATGGTTTGACTTTTACCAATGGAATACTGAGGATATTTTGAACATATTTTCCTTCTGAATGGCCCTTTATGAGAGTTAAATAATTGGCATTTTTCCTCATTCTACCTCAGTTTTCTCATATCAATAAGAGATTTATTTTTACTCATTTGATTCCAGGAGAAAATCTGAAATGAACATTCACATTTTTAGACACTCAAATAGGCACATCAGTTGCCCTCCTCATTTTGAAAATCAAAACAGCTCTAAAGAGAGAGCAAGACTAAGTAAGTCACACTGTATTTCCATTGAACTTACTAGACAAGACTAACTTAGGTCTCCTTGAGTTCAATGAAACTAAGAACAAGCTTGCCTGAATACAACCTATAGTGATATTCCTCTTGCATTTTCATATGTAAAACCCATATGGCATCATAATCAGAACTGCTACACATACCTTGAGAAACTGCTGCTTCAAAGCTCTGCTGTGAGACTGTGGACTTGCAAATGCTTTTCTCTGGAGGGTAGTTCCTTGGTTCACAGGGGGTAGCAAGTAAGCAGATCTCAGGCACTGCATATGTCATCAGGAAAACCCATCCATTTAGCACCAAAGCAATGCCAAGCAGGGGGTCGTCCCACTTACTTTCTGTCCCACCATCAGGCACACCACTCAGAAGTAGCATACTGATCCATGCAGCCCAGATGGCTATGGAGAAGAGAAGGGTGAGAAAGATGTGTACTCCATGCCTCTTCCAGCCTCTGAACGGTCCACAGAAGGAGAACATGGAGATCATGAAGGTGAGGGCCATTAAGACCAGCACATAGGTCAGGAGCAGGATGAAGTCCTTGTTGCGTTGCTCTCTCCCCATCCTGACCAAGTCTATGCCATGTCTTTCTGCTGTGAGGATGATGTACTTGGCACCTATGATAACCTGAACAAAGGTCAGGCCCAAAGCATGGCCCAGCATTGATAGCTGTGAAAGGGGGGGCCTTCCTCTTACCAGCCTGGTGAGGTTGGAGGCATGCATCAGAAGGCAGGAGAAGCAGAGAGCAAAAAGGACCCCATATAAGAAGAAGCGGGTAGGGCCGGTCTTTGAATTGAGCCTGATGATGAATGCAAATGTGAGGCCAAGGATGCCCAGGGTACCCAGGATGAACAGGAACTGAATGGGAGCCATATTTTTCTTGTTTTTGTCTTTGATCATAAAAGCAAGTATGAAGAACGCCAGGAGGAGGACCAGTGAGGCCAGGATGCCTGCAGCAGCCACCGTCTCCAGACCGATGCCCCAGGCTTCGCAGATGTCACAGAGGAAGTGATAATCAGGGTCGATGTTGCCACAGCCCGGGGGTGGTGCCATGGTGGTGGTCATGATGACAATGATGCCGCTGCCCTAACTGGGGGAGCAACTTCAGGGAAAACAAAGAACAGTGATAGAAAAGCCTCGCACATTCAGTCAGTGATCCAAAGACTGGAGTGCAGTTACTGACACTGATGTATAACACTGTTGTCAGGCAAGAAAATGAATCTTAATTTTACTGGTAGGTTAAAATTAGCATTGACATAAGGTGACTTTCAAAACGCAACTAGACTTTAAGGATGTTTTCCCACGAATTAAAAAAGGACAAAATTCCCTAGCCATTCTGCTTTGCCTTTCAGAGAGAAAAAGTCCTTCTACAGTTTGGGATGGTTGTTTCAGACAAGGGTGGTCCAAGACATTGAACAAGTGGGGAAGAGAACTCAGGTGCTGTGGACAGCAAGAACAACGGCGACGACTGTGGCACACACTGATAATCCGTCACCCTGTAATGACTCCCAAAATCTCCCTGAATCAATTGTTTCGCTGTGTCTAGTGAGAAGACTGATCCTGGTTTTGCCATGCTGCATATTCATTTTATGGAGCACCCATTTCAGTACAGAAAATCATTGTTAACACAATTTCCTTCAACTATTCACAGTTTAGAGGTAGGCTAAATTAGGTGAATGCATGTGCCATTGAAATCAATGGGTAAATTAGTTGATTGATTGGTATAGGCCTTAATATACCATTCATTATCATGGAATTCTCAGAACGGGGTACAAAAATCCTATTGATACAATATATAACATTGATATCAACTACCAATTTAAAATCAGGAATGCCCTGCCATAAAACAGCTATAGAAACAATAATTTCCAACCAGCACTGATGATAAACAACAATAAACAAAACAATACATGACAATCATTTGATAATAAATTAATTTTGACTAAAGTTTTGCTTATTCAGGAATCCAACCCCTTTTAGACTGGTATCTCTGTCAGAAATCCCTTCTAACCTAAGGTTAGTCCAGCTATTCATTGATTTAGTGGAGCCAAAGAAATGTGGCAGCATGGAGTTTGTGACATTTGTGCGAGCCATTGGCTATGGCAATTGCATAATTGAACATATCTGGTGTCAACATTGCTGAATAGGTGGATGAAAGTCATGCCTGATAGGTTGTGTTGGATCAGGAAGACCTGGATTAGACTTTCCCTTCCAGGAGGAAATGGAACAGGTGTACACAATTACACCATACATCATATTTCTATAAAATGACAAATCTTCTTCTTCTTCTTCTTCTTCTTCTTCTTCTTCTTCTTCTTCTTCAACACAAGCTAGTTATTGTTTGTTGCTTGTTCAAGCCTTCTTGCCCCCCAAACACAAATTTTTAAAACAGAAGGCAATATTGATAGAACTTTGCTTGTATACGTAATGCTTCCCCTCAGATAAAAAATGGACAAACTTCTTGCATAATACGCTTTCTAAGAATTATGAACAAAGCTCCATAATATGGGAGCTTTATAAATGGCTCATTAAAAAATGAGTAGAGACAAGCAATGCTCATCTATTCCTCCATTACTCTTTCTAGGCAAACCCTTGACCCCTGGCTCAACTTCTGTGACTTACCGTTGCTGTGTCCTGGCTGAAAAGTAAGACTCTGGCAATGGGAGAATGAGAAATTCTTGTAGCTCCCAAAAGCAAGGAGGAAAGTAACCTCAGCAGCACCTGATCTTGTCTGTCCTGTCAAATATAATGAACCTGTCTAAGTAGTGCTTTGAGGGACAAAATCTATATAAGCATGAACATTATTATTACTATTGTTATGGCTTCTTTCTTGATTAGCTGGTGATCAAGAACACACTCCCTAGGCAGCTAAAAAAAATAGGAAGGCACACCTATTCTGGTTCCACTACCGTCAACATGGTCATTGTGAGGAACTCACTGCTGGACTCACTGCTAGAAATGTCATATTTTTAGCGCATCACTCAACGGAATTACTTTTTTACATTTTTGTTTTCGCTTGCAACATTCATGTATCCACACATCTGGATCTCAGTTATGATAAGCTGAACTTATCTATAGGTATTTTGTTAAAACTTACATACATGCACACACACAAAACTATAGTGCGCTTCTACACACCTCTATTCAGAAGTAAGTCTTATGTGAAGCGATGCCCTGTAAGTGTCTGCTACTGGGAACAGTTTAGACTAATCTTCCCTAACTGCTTCCACACAACCAGATGGGTGAGTTTTACAAACTGGCAGCAGAAGGCAGTGGGGAGATTTGATTCTTTTTTGTTCTGGTTGTTGACATGGGCAGTGGCTTACACAGGTATATAAGGTAGAAGGATAAGTACACATTTTAGATAGTTAGCAAACGGTGCATGTATTTGCACATGTGTGCAGACACTGAGAGTCAAATCAATTTTCTTTACTTGTATTATTAATAAAGTTCTAGGCCATGCATCAGCCAAGGGGGCCACCATAGTACCTTACAACACAATACAAAACAAAAAATACATTGCATATGCTCCTGTCCCTCATGGCTGCTTTCAGGGAATTCTGATAGACCTAACAGAGCCCTTTTGTAAAAACAGGCAGCCAGAGTGATCAAGGCAATTTGTGTTCTGGAGCCCGGCTGAAAGCCTGATTGAAATAGAGTGAGATCATCTGTTTCATCCCAAAGGACCTGAAGCCGGTACTCCATCACTGGTTCAGCCGCTTTGGTCATGAACTGCAGACTTGACACTGCAAGTCCTTCTAACAAGGAGACTGAGGGAGGCCTACTTTAGCAAAGGTCTTACAGTGGCTTCCTTCTGGACTGATGGCATTGCTTTTTCTGTGCAGATGTGTTAACGAAAATCACAACTGAACTCAACAGCTTCCTTACACTAGCCAAGATGAGCAGTGAACAAGCAGGTACATTCAGAGTGAAGAGCAAGAAGCATCTCATCAGTATCGGTAAGTGTTCACAGCTGAAATGCATCCAAAGCAAAACTGTCACAGCAGCCTGGTGAGTCTTCTAATGGCCCCATGATTTTAATTTTCATTCAGAAAAGCTCTACTGGATGCAATTGAGCAAACACAGTGCTGTCAGGAAAGAAGACCTCTTTGCCACCATGGAGCTACACATGTTTTGACAGTAGCATCACAATTTTTCCTTCAGTTGTTCTCCAAATGCAATCTCTGCTCCTTTATTGCTCATAACTCCTCAATAAATCAGGGAGAGGCCTGAACAGCAGGAGAAGCATCTATGTTCTACTGTTTCAGCACCCTGTCTTCCCTATTCCAGAGTAGCTGGCAGACTTAGTCAAATACTCCACTATTGGAACCCTTCTGAGCATAAAACACATTGAGGTGGCAACATAAGCATTAAGCCACATCTGTTACAGAGGCCTAAGTTTGGGAACTGATTTCTAGAACTATAAACCACTAGGTCCTCAAGAGCATATTCAAGACCATTTCTGCCAGAGAACCTAAGGAGACTGTTAAGAAGCAGTAAGGTTAGTATAGTGACTTTTCTGTTATATCTGCCCAACCAGATGCTCTTCTTCAGAATCAGCTAAATTTTAGACAAGATATCTAGTAAAGGAGATACTCGTAGAAACTTAATGGAGTACAGCAGCTCCACCTCCTACCCAATGATCCTGCTTTGCTCATATTAAAAATAGTCATCTGGAAGCTACTGGGCTCCTCTGTTTCCAGTCAGGTCTTCCACACATGTGCACGTGTGTGCGCATGCTCTCTCTCTCTCTCACACACAGATCTATTTTAAAAAAAAAGAACACACATAATATACACCCATCATGCGCTACAAGGTTTGCTCTTGGTGCTTCTCACAGTCCATGTTTGGTATTTTCTGAAATTGCAGTGTTGAACTGTGATGTCACATTAACACAGTTCTGTGGCCTTTATGGAATATTTAATTGTGGCTTGGTTAAATAACTTTACATGTCAAAAAGGGATTTTAACTGTCCACTAAAGGTTGATTTAGAAAGAGCTTCTAACCAAGCTTGCCATGCGGAGGATTTAAGAATTCTTCAATCTTTGAATAAAGCAGGCAAGTTAGTAGGGCCCAGCCAGCAGGAAAACAACCTCAAAATTGACATTACTTCCCAATTTGCATAGGATTTTTGTTAGCTTCCTAGAACATGACCTATCCCAGGGCCTCTTTCATCATCTATAGTATTAGTCTTGCCAAGCTTGCATTTCATCAAAAAGGTGGTTTAAGTCTGTTTAACTAAGAGGATATTTCAATGCCTTGCTCATACTAAAAATAAGGAACAGCTTCAGATTGGTAGTAGGGAGAGGACCATTTAAAGCTTGACGGAAATCTTTAAAAGCAATTCAGGCTTTTGGCAGTACATGTGTAAGATAATATATATGCACAGAGTAGAATGAATCATTCTAGATGCTGCTAAAATCAAATAAATGTTTAGCACTGGCTGATCTTGTCAAGAGCACAGGAGAGCCTTTCCGGATTAGAAAACAAGAATTCAGCAATACCAAGTTCCATTCAGCACAACGTATTTTATTTTGGGATAAGCAGAAAGGTTATGAATGGGCTGACAAAAAATGGGTTGTCACTGGCATGAACACTCAGCCAAGATGGAGTACCTAGATGCTTAGTATTCCATCTATTTCTGTCAAGGACGCCATGGTTAGCAATGATCGCAATACAATAAATTAGGTTTTTGAACAGCTTTATAGTAGGTATTATACATCTCTGGCTACTTACAGTCCAGTTAGAACTGATGTGTTGTTAGATAGATGTACATGAAGTGCTCTTTCTGAAGAGCAAGCAGTTACACTTGATAATCCTATTGCAAAAGAGGAATTGCTGTGACTAGCGCTACCATCCAGTTACAGTCCAGCGACCCCCGAGGCAGCCTTCCAAAGCTACCATGAAAATTGATCAGCCGAGGCACAAAATCTACTCAGCTGCCCTTTACCCCAATGACTGACTGAGAATGAAAACGAGTAGAGCATCTTGCCTGCCTGGCTAGCATGTTCAGGGGGAGGGACCGACTAACCTCTTTGAACAGCAGAGTTTTACAAAACTCTGTA